TTAATATAATTAAAATACTAAATACAGTACAATATAAGTATTGAGTATATATGTATTATAATTATTCTTTTTTGAGTTGGCAATTAACACATCCCACTTATTGTTGATGTGTTTCAATACTGTAAGCATCTCTTGAAATATCTGGTTCTGCTTTTCATTTTGCTCAGTAATGAGGCGCTTAACTCTTTCGAGCTCTGACAAATAGATCTCATTCCTTGCCTTTTTGGGTTCCGGTAGTAAAGAAGGCGTTAATTCTACTTGCTGTGTGGACGTTGGAGTAGCAAAGTGGTTATCTACAATTTCTTAACTCTCAAGAAATCCTACCTCAAAGAAATCTGCTTGCCGATATTGTAGAAGAAAACAGAAATGGTTGGTGTTAATATGTAAAACAAAAAACATGTCTTTTATTTACCGGAATGCCTGTTTCAGGGCTATTTTGATTTTGATGCTCTGAACTCAATGCTATCACCTATTTATCTATTCCGTCAAGAGTTTTCGGCCCTTCAGTACTCGGTGGATTGCCTTTTTGGTCCAAAAAGCACTTCATTTCAGCTGCTTGTTTTTCACTGACAGCTTCCAGTCAGCCCAGCACTATACGTAATTGAAATGTTATTTTACAATTTTGAATTTCACAGTGTTAATTAAGGTCAAATAAATTGCATTTAATAAAATAATGATAATAAAATAAAATAAATAAAAAAGTTACTGTAAAGTAAATAATATTATAAATAGAATATTTCCGCATATATATGTTAAGAGTCAGAACAACGGTAACGCTGAAACTTGCAAAATGTTTGTATTATGTATTGCTAATTGTATTTAATTTATTTTGTTAGTGATGTATGTAAAATTAAATGAAATTAGTACAACAAATAGAATTTGTGCTAAAAGTACAAGTTCACTAGACAAGTAAAAATTTATTTACTTTAACTTACATTTTTCCATTATTCTGGAGTTTTATTAGATTTTCCAGCACTTACCTCTTCAGCACAGTTTCGTCAAAAGTTTTCAATATTTATGTGACTATCCGGACCCGAAAATTGACCCCAAGCAATACAAATAGAGAAGGTGCATCTATACAGCTGGTTAATGTCCTCAAGAAATATAAGGCTGACATTAAAATGGGATGGACGGGACAAGGATGCTTTAAACGAGAACATTGTGACATCTACTACAGCTGCCATGAAACAAAGTACGAATTTGGAGTCGGATTTGCGGTAAGTCGAAGGTTGAAAAATTTGGTCTCAACATTTACACCAATAAACGAAAGGCTTGCCAAAATCCGTAAGATGATGACATCAAGGAAACTTTCTATGAACAGCTTGAACAAGCATATGAACGGTGTCCCCATCATCACATTAAAATCGTTGTAGGAGACTTCAACGCAAAAGTACGTAAAGAAGGAAAGTTCAGCTTTCACACCAAAACTTCTGATAATGGAAGAAGGCTGACCCGGATCATTATCTTGTTGCAGCCAAGATCTGCACACGTTTATGTGCAATGAAAAAGGTGCGTAAACAAGCACAGCTACTCGACTCTGTCAGCATCTGAAAAATTCATTCGAAGAAGCCGATATATGCGCGCAATGGAGGGATCATTTCTCGAACCTACTAAATGACGGTAATAGTAATGTGACTGAAAGCGAAGATTATCCTGAATTTACAATCGTTGAAGATGAAATAATCGTCCCGCGTCTCGATCATAATTAAGTTAAAATAGTTATAATGCGACTCAAAAAGAACAAAGCTGCACGCACCAATGGTTTACCGGCTGAGCTTTTTAAAGCGGGTGAAAAAGAGCTATTAAAATGTATGTTACAGCTAATTCGCAACATATGATCAGATGAATGCATGCCCAACGATTGGAACTTAAGTGCGCTTTGCCCAATTTACAAAATGGTGATACTGCAAACTGCGCCAACTATCGATTTTATTTATATAAATCAAATATATTCAGATATATATATTTTAATATTGTAATCATATGTCAAAAATCATATGTAAACAAAAATTCAAATAAAAGTCAAAAATTTCATAAATTTAAAAATGAAGAAATAATTTCAGTGCTTAATTTTGAAATTTCCAACATTTTTACCATTTCTTTTATTTCTGTATTCATTTTAATTTTCAATTTATATTAATTTATATTATATTTATTATTTATTTTTATACAAAATGTAATTTGCTTGCATTATATACACATATACAAAATTTGCTATTTGCCTAAACATAACATTTGACAGATTGCAACAGTGATGCCAATATGTCAGTAAGAGACTTTAGAAAGTTATTTGAAACTTTCTTATGTTGGAGATAATTATTAAAAAATTATCAATGAAATTCATTAAAATAATTTTTGTGAAAACCACTATACGATTTTTTACTGTAAAAAATTGAAAAGTTGTTATTGGTATGCTCATAGGTCAAACGCCTATAAATGCTTTGTAAAAGTATTTTACTATTTATGTTAAAATATTAGTAAGTATTAGTAAGTGTTTTATGTTCACATTGCGATTATAATAATGTCTAAAAAATTTTTTTTTTTTGTCTTTTTAATTATTTATTGGATTTTTTATGAAAAAAGTAAAGGACAATAATTTCATACACGCAAATATAATATTTCTTTATTTGATCATAATTTTTAAAATACAACACTTTATATTAATCAGCCATGCCACGATAGAAAAGGTACGCACTTTACTAATGCCAGAAAAGGAAGAAGGAAAAAAGCAAAAACGAAGCCAAAAGTTATTGTTTGCCAGATGTTAAAATGCTACTGTCAAAATCTCTAGATCAGTGATGCCATACTGTCTAGTTGTTATGCCAAATCTCAAACATTCTGCCCGGCTGGACGGGTACGTTCAGGATGCTCCACAAGTCTGCATATCTTCTGGATAGGTCGCATGTGTTCACCAGCTGTATGCTATGTTTGTGACTACTCGTACCAACTCGTCTTCGCCTGAGTGAAGTTTGATCATCCTGCCAAGCCGCCAATGTGTTGCTGGTAGATTCTCGTGCCGGATAACCACGACATCGCCTATGTTGATGTGGTCACCATTCTGATGCCATTTGGAACGTGGATGCAAAGTTGAAAGATATTCTTCGTGCCATTGTCGCCAAAAATGCTGCTGCATTTGTATTAATTGGCGCCAGTATGTCAATTTGTTGCTAAGTACTTTGCCAATAGGTTCATCTGGTACTGCTAGTAGAGATCTTCCGATCAGAAAATCTGCAGGTAATAGAGCCATTTTGTCGTCACAAGTGTCGTGCAAAGGTATGAGCGGACATGAGTTCAAGCAAGCCTCGACGTGCACAAGTAGAGTATGTAGGTGATCATAGTAAATTGAATGAGTGCCAACAATGTGTAGTAAGTGTTTCTTTGTTGATTTAACGGCAGCTTCCCAAAAACCGCCTTGATGTGGTGCGCCAGGTGGTAGAAAATACCATTTTGCGCCTCAATTTGCCAATTGCTGTTGAGAATATTTATTACGCCAAGCCTGTGAGTCAGCGGCCATTAAGCAATCTGCGCCAATGAATGTAGTGCCATTGTCACTGTATAAATGGTTACATGGACCACGCCGGTTTACGAAACGGGTGTATGCATTTATGAATGCCTCAGAAGTGAGATCTTCAGCTAATTCGATATAAACTGCTTTGGTTATCATGCACACAAAGATTGCCACGTAAGCCTTCCGTACCGTTCGTACAGCCTTGGAGCTAATTTGCGTGTTGAATAGACCGCAATAGTCTACACCAGATCTAGCAAATGGGGGAGATGGGGTGACCCGAGCCTTTGGTGATGTCGCCATACGTTGTTTTAGCATTATGTGTTTATAACGCCTGTAAATCGCGCATGATTATATGCATCGCTTGACCAAAATGCGTGCCTGCAGAATCCAATATTTGTGTCGAATAGTATGTAGCATAAGCTGTATACCACCATGAAATGTGTCTTGATGCACCTGCCATATTAAAAGCCTAGCCTTAAGAAGAATGATTGGATGATGCTTTACCTCTGTCACCCTCCCATTATGTAGGCGTCCGCCTGCTCGCGATATATTGTTCACAGCCGGTCTGATGAACGGGCTCAGTTCAATGAGTTTGCTTTATGGGGATATGGGCTGCGGCTTTTGCAGCTGCGTGAGTTCCGCTGCCAAATATTTCGCTTGCTCTGCACACCAAGTATGAAGTTCAAGTATGCGCTTTGCAATACACTTTGGAACAAGGTATGCATGCTTCATTTTGATTTATTTTTTACGCCTTCAGAACAACAGCGGTGCTCCGCTTACAGAGTGTAAAATAGTAATCGAAACTGAAGGAATTGAGATGATGATAATACGAGTAGCCACACGTTGTTTATTTCATTATTTTATTATATAAAGATTTTATATTTCTCTTAGAATTAAACACGATTTCTTATTTTAATTCTTAAAACTAAAATTATTTTTAATTTAATTCTTTAAAATGTAATATTTTAATATTTTTATTCACAATATAATTTTTAAAATAGAAAAAATTACTTAAAAAATGTTTTTAGCACAAAATAATTTTTAAAATATACAAACTTCATTAATATTTGTTTGTAGTACTTTTTTTCAAATTTTTCAATTTTTTCAATTATTTTACAATATTGTTCCACTATCTTTGCTCGACGATATACACAAGGAGACATGTGTGCAGATTTAACAAATAATTGAAAAGTTTTAATTTTACCGCATACATGTCCCACACTGAAATTTGATATACTAACTTGCATATAGACGGTGCGATTTGGTAGCACGTATCCTTGTCTGCAAACATGTAGCATCGTCTATATCCTGCATAAAACGTGTGACAAAAATGTTATAAAAATTGAATTTTCTTAAGCAATTTCTATTATTTTTGATCAAAGTGGACAGAGTGTCCATTCTTTAAAAGATATTCTCTGGTTAATGTGTATCGAAGTATACAAAAATGTTTCGTGCGAAAGAAAATATGGTAGCTCTGTTATTTCCAAGAGTGTAGGTATAAACAGCTGTTTTATTAATTTCATAACCTATTGCACCCAGATTTAACTTTCTTCAAAGTTATTGAAAGAATTAACGATGTCGAACTTTCTACAATATTTTCGTTTAACAGTTCAATCGAGCCGTGCGTACGGAAAGCATAACAAGAAATATTTGTTCAAAGATGGTAAAAAATATGAAAAGATCATATATTACCCCAGGTGAGTTTTTTTTGACAATATAAGTTATTTTAATTCATTAATTGACTTAAAAGGACTCCTGAGGATGAAGACCCGCCTGTTGAACCCTCAAAATTATTTCGAGTACAACGAATAAAACCAGTAAAAGGAAATCCTTATTGGGAAAAAAAAATACTAAGAGATCTTGGATTGGACCAAAAACAAAGTGATTTTACTGTAGTTAAAAATATACCTGATAACAACGCCAGGCTTTGGAAAATTAAGCATCTTATTAAAGTCACACCAATTACTTTTCCTTATGGCGAACCTACTGAAGATGACACTAAACACACATATTTAAAGGAAAATGGTGAATGTATAGTAACTAAAGACATTGGTCCAATACAAGAACGTTTGCAAGCGTCAAATAAGTATGATTGCGATCCAAAACGTTTAGATACAGACCTGCTAAAAAAGGATGCAAGACTTAAATGGCTTAACCCATGGTGAATAAAATAGCTCTTTATAAGAGTAAAAATATGTTTATTATAAAATCAAATATACTAACAAACTATTTAATTAATAAATGGGATGCATAACTTCAACAGCAACTTTTTTATCTAACGTCTTGCAGCCTGACGTCGCGAACAACCCATGAGTTCGATCATATGTAACAGCATCATTAATTATTGAACTGAAAGAGAATTTTTTTTATTCGACATAAAATTGATTGTAAAATAACATACTCCACTACATTTTCCTTAGGTTTAGAACCCCATTTTTTAAATTCTGTTTCTACACACTTAACAATATGTCGCTTTTCCAATGGCAGGAAAGGTAAATAATGATCGATCACATGAGCTTCTATTAAACTAGTTTTTTTCATGCCACCATCTAAATTGTAAGCAGCTTTTTCTAATATTTGTTCAAAATGTCCAATTCTAGTGTCATCTCGTAGAGTTCCGGAATTTATAACATTTCCTAAACGGTCAGATATTAAAACACCAGCCGTGTTGGATAAAAATATAAATATTGCTTTTGTACTATCTTGTTTGTCTATTAACGTATGGTAATCTACAAGAGACGTTAATGACTCAAAAACTCCTTCGGGCATTTTATCAACTTCATCAAATATAAATAATGATCTAGGGCAATCAGCAATCGCTTTCCGCACTTCTTGATTAATTCTTTCCTTTAATGGGCAAAAAAGTTCTTTTTTTATAAAAACATTACATTAAATGACTTACTTTGTAAATATGAGAATTGGCTTCTAGTGGAAAATCGGCTCTACCCAAATATTTATGAACAAATCTGCTTTTTACTCCTTTTTCGTATAATGCTTCGGCAATTTGATCAGCTACAAAGTTTTTGCCGGTGCCTGGGGTTCCATGAAAGCTTAAAACAAGAGGTTTTCGTGAGTTGTTTTCTGGGCTGAAATGCGCTTGCAAAGCAGGTATTAGATGTTGTAACACTATATGCTGTCCATACAAATTATTGCTCAATCGCGTTTTTAGCTCTAGTAATGTGAAAAAAGTTGCTATTGTAATGAATTTATTTAATAAACACATCAACCTTTTATATTAGCTGGGATTCCTCTCTGATTGCAGCATTCGGAATATCTACAATATGTATTATCTACTAACCCATTGTAAATTGATGGGAACAAGTTAATTATTCCAACTCCCATTGACACTGGATCAATGAAACAAATAACATTTTGTATAGAAATTAAAAATGTTGCTACCCGTAGTATCTTAGACGAATGTAGTTTAATTATATGCATTTTCTGAATTCACTAAAAGAATATTAACTTAAAATACCAATTTTGGTGGCGCTATTTTCTGTTTAGAAAATTGAGTTAAATCCAGATATATTACAAAAATTGTACAGTAAGGAAAAAAATATGACATTTTATTTGGTTATCTAAATTTTCGCAACGTTGCCAAGGTAGCAACCAAAGAAGATAAAGAAGAGAAATTGAGAGGAAATTTTGAATAATTTTGCCTCTTTGTATAATATCCAAAAAAAATCTCTCTTACTTATTCACCATACCAGAATTGTCAAAAATTAAAATTGGTATGACTTATAACCTTAATGTTTTCTACATTTGTGGTTGCATATTAACATGTAGTCATTAAAAGAAATAGTACAAACTTATTATTAGAAAATCTATTATAAATATCAATTTCATTTTAATGACAATTTATCCATTTCATTTCAATTTAATGATATATAGATATGATATTTTATATAAGTTTTACATCAATTTATATATAAATTCTAAATTTGCTATATTAATCAAATATTACTAAAAAATGGCTATAATTATTATTGATGAATTAAATATATACAATTAGGCATTAAAGTATTTTGACAAAGTGAAGAAATTGTATAGTATTTGTTAAAATAAAATTTCTTTTGTATCATGTTGCACATGTACGTACTATACTTATGTATATATACACTGTTAAAAAAATACATTTATAGGAAAAGTTAGCATCTAACAGAGGAGTAATAAAATGTACATATATTTCAAGTTTTAGATTACATTATTTTAATATACTATTTTAAAACAATGAATATTAATATAATGTTGTAACATTCAAAAAAATTGTGTACATAATAATACAATTTTTACATGGACAATAAATTTTTTTCGATGTAAAAAAACATAAAAATTCGTCTACTGTTACGCATTTTTTGTGGTTTTAAGTAATCCTTTCAATGACGTGAAATGCTTTTTGTATATGAAATTCAAGAAAGAATGGGGATCAATTCCATCACGTGAAGTCCGTAGTGTTAAAAGAAATATAAAATATATAAGCTTTTTTCGCACCACCTAAGAGGTATGCTTACTGACCCGTTACCGAGTTTTAGGTGTTCGATTCCCCGATAGGCCTATGCACCAAAATATTTTATTTCAGAAAAGTACAGTATGTAAATACAATTTTAAATGTATACAAAATGTATACAAAATAATATTAGGCGTTTTCTTTTGTAAGCATGTCAAAAAAGAACAACTGCTTATTTTAAAAATAACATATGAAACAACAACAATTATTTTAAGTAGTGCTTAATTTATTAGTTTTTTTGTGACATGCTTACAAAAGAAAACGCCTATTATTATTTTAAAAATGTTTAATATGATTGAAAAAATAACAAGGAACTATTTAATTAAATAAAAATTATAAATAAATTGAATCTATTAAATTAATGCAGCGCATTAATCCCATTTGAAGAGTCAGTAATGCCAAACAGGATCTTCCACTCGTTTCTATATTAATAATCATAAAACCGCCATTAGTTAAAATTCTTAAGAAAGCATGTAACACAGTTTGGAGAAGTATTAAGGAACTTTTAATACAAACATATTAGGTACGAAAAATACAGATCACATTTATTAAACTGCATGTCCAAGCCCTTTTGTCAGTATGATTTAAAGAAAAAACAAACAAAAAACAAAATCGCAAATTGTACAATATATTTTTAAAACACGTTTATAATTTTTTACAGATGTAAAATTTGTTAAAATGTGATTTACATAATTATAAATATTTATATATAATGACAAAACACAACCGAAGTACATTCAAAAATATTAATTTTGCTTCATGATTTTTCAATTTTCATAATTATTATTATATTATGAAAAAATAATATTCTATTCACTTTATTTTACTACTTCCCACGCACTAAATTATAACTAACTGCACAAATTAATTAGAAATTAATTATATATACTGCTTTGACACACATCTTAATTTCTAATATGCTAATACATTTAAGTATTTTAATTAAGTAATAATTCGTATATTTTTGTGAAAGGATTACCTTTTAATGCCCCCCTAAGCGCGAAACTAAACAAGTTATTCAGGGAGTAATTATACAAACAAATAAATTCACTAATTTATTGCCGTCTTCTTCTGCACGCAAAAGTAATCTTCTCAATGCGCATGCGCAGTTAAAAACGTCATGGACTGCCGAATGTGGATCTTCACTGCCAAATTTTCCATCAACAAATGTTGCACATCAAAACAGCATAAAAAACATGTAGCAAAGAAAATGTTGCGGAAAAATGTTTGTAATCAAAAATCGACAAGTTGCGCAACAAATAAATACGAACATGAATCTATCAACATTGAAGATAAAAACAATATTCAAAAT